GACTGGGAGGAAGGGCCTTGAAAACCGGCAAGCTGTCATCCTCTGGTGGGCCATGGGGCTGGTCCCCACTCCTGCTGTTACTCCTGACAGATGTTGAGAAGTAGCCCTGGCTGGTAGGAAGCCTGCCTTGGGCTCTAGTGGGCACTGGCAGCTCCCACCACACAAAGGCGTGGTCATTCATTGTAGAGCGCTTTGTAAACATCACATTTACAGGATAATAGTTCAACACCCCCACTCCTCCCCCCCCCAAAAAATCAAAGGAGTATTACATTATGCAAATCTGCTTCAAAAGATCTCTCTAATGTGTTAAGATGCAAAGATGTCACTTTTAAGATTAAGGTGCACTTTACCCAACTCTAAAACAAAATTCACGGCCATAGAGTCAATGCAGAATCAAACTCCCTGTGCGTTTCTGGACCTTCAAGTCTATGGGAGTAGAAAGCCTCATCTTCTCCCATAGAGCAGTTCTGGTTTAGAACTGATGACCTTGTGGTTTGCAACACAAGGTGTAACCTACTACAAGCCATGACATTTTCAATTGTCTTCTAGGCATTTAAAAACTGGACAATGAATAAGGAAGACAGGAGCAGAATAGATGCATTTGAATTACGGTGTTGCCAAAGAATATTGAATAATCAGTATTGATAGATTGTCAGGAAATAAGAACTACAGCCAAAATGATCCTTAGAAACCAAGATGAAGAGGCTTCATCTCCTAATTTAGACAAGTCCCTGGAGAGCATCATGCTCGGCAAATCAAAGGCTCAGGAGAAAAGAGGAAGACCCTCAATAAGATGGACTGACACAGTGCCTGCAATTATGGGTGCAAGCGGAGCAATGATTTTGAGGACGATTCAGGACTAGGCAGTGCTGCATTCTGTTGCACATAGTGTTGCTGTGAGCTGAAACTGGCTTGGCGATGGTTAATTAAACTGATCCGTTTGCAGTAGGTACCACAAAGTTTGGGGAGGTGGAAAGTTGCTGGTATGTGACTTACTGTCCTCTGTCTCCCTGCACCCCATCATGTGACTCGGAAGCACATGATGCCTGTTGTTGCGAGGTGCCACGGAGTCAGTGCCAACTCAGCAGCTCTGTACCTGCATGAGCTTTTATTACCCGTGTGACCCCACCTCCCCTCCCGCATTGAGTTTCTAGTGCCTTGAGATTGTGTCTTGATATATGCACACCAATTCAACTTGAAACATGTTAAAATTTGAGTGTTGGAAGTATTATTATGAACCTGATTCCTTTCTGTAGTTAAACAGTTTTATTAATGATCCTCACAAAGGATCCCCTTTGTGTGGAATCTGAATAGACCCCCACTGAGTTGTTCCTTGAAGCTTCTGTAGAGCTGGATTATTAGATCGATACAATATTGGGTGGGGGATGTTTTCACAGCATCCTTTTCTTTGTATATAAATGTAATAGTTTAATTTAGATCATATTTCATGATGCATTTAGGAATTATATTGATTAAACTGTTCTTTTTTATATTTTAAAGGGTCTTATTCACTATGGACGAGATAACCAGAATTTAGACATTTTACTTTTCCAAGAAGTCCTGGAGTACATGTCTAGGATAGACAGAGTGCTGAGTTTCCCTGGCGGCTCCCTTTTGTTAGCAGGACGCAGTGGTGTGGGCCGCCGCACAATCACTTCTTTAGTCAGCCACATGCACGGAGCTGTGCTCTTTTCTCCAAAGATTTCCCGAGGGTATGAACTGAAGCAGTTCAAAAATGATCTCAAACATGTGAGTTCATTGTAGTTTTTTGCTTAATATTTCCTTTGAACCCTATTACTTAGCATACTAAAAGCCTTTTTAAATCTCTGACATACTACATATTGTTTAATTTTGGTGATTCATTTTCTCATGATCATTAGAATTATTTTTATTTCTAGATGGAAAAAGTTTCTTATTCTCATATAATTTCTAGTTTTCAGAGATGGTGGGTGGACTTGGTAGATAAAAGGTTGGATTTTTTTTTTTTTTTTACTTAGAATAGATATGGGCATTTATCAAAATTCCCCACTAGCTTTTGATTTAATTTGATCTGTAAGTGACTCCACCACAAAGCAAATTAGAATTCACTGCCATCAAGTCTATTCTGACTAATAGCAACCCTATATGGCAGGGCAGAGCTGCCCTTCTGCGTTTCCAAGACTGTAACTCTTTGAGGGAGTAGAAAGCTTCCTCTTTCTGCTGCAGAGCAGCTGGTGGCTTTGAACCGCTGACCTTGAAGTTAGCAACCCAATGTGTAACCCACTCTTCCACCAGGGTTCCAAATGAACTAATATTTCCCCCCAATATTACAGATTTTTTCCTGGGTAATTAATGAGATCTGTACCCTAACCACGACTTTTAAGAATTTGTAGGTTAGTTGAACCAAGTACATACAATTTTTATTTAGTCTTAATTTAGTGTCCTGTTGGCCATGTTGACTACGTGTTTGGACTGCTGATCACAAGGTTGGTGATTCAAAACCACCCTTCACTGTGCACAAGCCTTGGGGATCCTATACAGGCTCATTATGAGTTGGAATGGATTCATTGGCAGTGAGTTTTTTGTTCTGTTTTGTTCTTTTACTGCAAGGATTTGGAGCCTTGGTAGTGCAGTGGGTAAACATTGTGATGCTTAACTGCAAAGTCAAGGGTTCAAAACCACCAGCTACTTCATAGGAAAAAGATGAGGCTTTGTTCATCCTTTAACATTTGCGGTCTTGGAAACCCTCTTGAGCAGTTCTTCTCTGTCCTATATATGTTTGCGATCACTTGATGGCAATGAGTAGCAATGGGTTAGTATAAGAAACAACTATAGTCCTTTTCAGTCATTTAAATCATGCAGATGCAGTAAGTGCAGGTGATTGTGATGAAGAGTTTGTTGCTTGCCAGTAGAGTTTGGGTCATAAACAAAAAGTGGATTCCGAGCTGAAGCGGTGCTACCTGTGCAAAGATGGTAGTGTTCTACTCCAGGATGGTGCCAGTTTGAATGGGTGTGGCTTTCCATGCTCTCTCTACTAATCTGTCATGTATCAGACTTCTGAAAGGACTGACTATGCTTCATTTCAGTCTCCTTTATCAGGGCTTAACCCAAATTGTAAAAATACAGGTATTTTTATTCCTGTTCTGCTTCGTTGGCCATCACATAGCCGGTTCCCATTGGTTGATGCCCTGTTTAAAGGGAAAGCAGAAATTGCCCATAAGTAGGGATAGCCTACATTTATTTGTTTTCATATACTTTTTCAAGTTGTATGGCTAATGTTTGATTTTAATTACAATTATTTAGAATAAATATATAAGCAGATTCATGATTATACAGACATGTTTTATATGCAGAATGGTTTTTAAAAGCACCACACCAAAATTCTCGGGCTACTGACTATATTTTCTTATTGAACAGGTACTGCATCTCGCAGGTATTGAATCCCAGCAGGTAGTTTTACTTCTTGAAGACTATCAGTTTGTGCATCCTACCTTTTTGGAGATGATCAACAGTCTTTTGTCTTCAGGCAAGTCAGTTTCTATTAAAACAATAAAAGCACTATTGTAAGAATTATTCACATTAAATTATCTTGTGAACTTTACCTGTGTTTTAGAGACTGTATTAGGCTGGTTGTCTAGAGAATTAAATCCAGTGACACTCTTCTGTGCATAAGAAAGAGCCTTATATCAAGAAGTAGTTACATATCAAGAAGGCATCACAGCCCAGTTCAACTCAAGTTCCTGAGTTGGATGCTACCCTCTGAATTCCCAGACTCACGTAGTCACGTACCAGTGATGCAGAGAGGTGAACCAGGAATCAGGAAGATTACAGGCCTGTGAGTGCAGAATCACCTAGATCCAGAGTCAATTGGTGGCAGAGGCCCGACAAGCAGGAAGGTGAAGGAACAGAGAGAACCCTTCCCAGAGTCCCTCACTCTTACACAAAGTTCCCACTCCCAAGGAAGTGTCCTCAAACTACCACATGATTGACAGGTTTCACTCCACCCATATCCAAAGTGTCTGGTTGACATAAAATCATCCAATTACCATAGCAACCTTTGAAATAGTTCTTACTAGAGTGACATGGTCAATGCTAGGAAATTGAGATACTTAATTTTTAAACAGGATACTGAAGAATTATATAAAGATGATTGTTAATATTCATAAGGTGAATACACAGAAAAACTGGCCTTGTCTTACCTTTTAGAGGGGTCTATTTTATAGTCTTTGGGGCAAGTTTTCATCCAGTTTTTAAGTGTGAGTCATCTTTTGAGTTAACAATTTATTACCTGTATGAATTTAATCTTTAGACTTAAAGACTAGTATCCAAGTAATATGTAGATTAATTGATAATAGTAAACAATTTTATAGAACTTCATTAGTAGTTGAATGGTGGAATGACTTACTGTATGGCTTTACATTTCATATTTCGTATATTTTGAATATATCTATAATCAGTAACATGGAAAAAATGTACTTGCTGTTTTTAAAGTTTAATGGAACAAATTTTAAGTAGTATATACCTGTGTTAGGGTTTTCTAGAGAAACAAAACCAGGACACTTGTGATTTTATATAGATATATACAACATAAAGAAATAAAAAGCTGATTAGTCCATAGAGCTGTACAGAGGTCTCAGTTCAACTCACTTCTGTGAGACAGTTAATACACTGGCAGTCCTTCAACTCATAAGGGGTGCTGGGTGCAAGTCAAGGAAGCAGACAGCCGAGTCTTCTATAGAGCAGTACAGGCAGTTCAGCCACAGGCAGCAAACAGCAGGGTGGGTTGCCAATAGTCAGCTAGAAGACAGGGTCCAACTGTCCCCAGCTCAAGTGATGTATACACCAGCGTGTGGTGAAGCAGGTCTCGAAGGAACCTTAAACTAAGTGCAAAGTGCTCAGGGGTTTCTATCACCTCATATAAAAATTAATTAAATTACTGTAAGGGGAAATCACACTGCTGATCAATTTGATGGCAATGAATTAGGGTTTTTGTTTGTTTGTTAGAGTTAATTCTGTGAAACCTGAATTAAGAATTACTGCCTTCTTTCTGCAGCAGAGTATGGTATTCCCTTGTCTTTGTGACCTGACCCATTTGGTGCTTTTCTGGGCAGATCCTGCAAATACTTCTATTTTTTTTCCTTTCCTGAAGAACTTATGACATTTATTAGAATCCCTGCATAGTGAATAATTACTGTTAGTAGAGTCAGTATGAGGTAGCGTAGTCTTAAACTTGATCCCAAGATATATATATGTATGTGTGTGTGTGTGTGTGTACAAATACTAATTGAGTCCTGGTGGCATGGTGGTTGCACATTGAGCTAGTAACCACACGGTCAGCAGTTTAAAACCATCAGCTGCCCAATGGGAGAAAGATGGGTCTTTCTCTTTCTGTGAAGAGTTGTAGTCTTAGAAACTCACAGGGCAGTTCAACCCTGTTCTGTAGGGTCACTATGAGTCAGCATCAACTCGATGGCAGTCATACACACACACACATCGTATATATAATATACATACATATGTATATGTCAGAATTGTATATACATAGATGTGTATGTATGTCAGAATTGACTTGATCACAGTAATTTTTAATGTCTTTTGCTATATGTGTATACACACACAAATTACATATGCACACCTAAGCATGAAATGAACTTTGTCGAAGTTACTTTCAATGGTATGGGTAGTTTAGTGAACCTGAGGACAAAGTCATATAACATTTATGTTCAACAAAATACTTATCGAACACTTGTTTTGTACCATATTAGGCTGTGAGTTGAAGTAGCCTTTTTCTGACATTAACAGTCTCGGAAGAAAACATCATTAATATTGTATGATATCTTCATTTTAGTACAGTATTGGACTTTAGTTGGACAAGTGATCCATTTCCCGTTGAGTTTAGGTGTAATGGCTTAGTAAAAATGGAAGTAGTAGAGTCAATTTAGAGTGTTGCCGTTTTATAGAATAGGCTCTTCTGTTTTTCAAGGAGTGCATTCTTGCCTATTGCATAAGCAGTCACAGATAGAGACCTTATTCACTTTGGTTTCCTAAACTAGCAGACAAAATACACAGCTCTTTTGTGAAAGCAAGCATTAGATAAATGTTACTCAGTAATTGTTTTAACATAATTGGATCTTTAATCTTAAGATATAACTACAGTGAACCCTCGTTTATCGCGGTTAATCGGTTCTAGACCCTACCGTGATAAATGAAATTCCGCGAAGTAGGATTCCTTATTTGTAAATCAAATATTTCCGTAGTTAGAGCATAGAGGACATGAAAAAACACCCTTTAGTCACCATTACACTCGTATTACCCAATTTATTAAACGAAAAAGGGAAAATACAGTAAAACATTTTGGATGTTACAATTATCATTTATTATTTATTATATTATTTATGGCATCTAGTTTACAGTATTACATATTTCACATACAGTATTATTATACATAGTTCTTACAAATACTGTAATCAATAGCCTATGAAATGACTTAAGGGATGTACTCTATAGGTGGGTCGCCGTCTTTTTCCTCTGAAGGAGTGGGTGTAGGCAGTGGGTGCTGTTACGCAAAAACCGCAATAGAGTGAAGCCGCGGAAGTCAAAGCGCGAAGTGGCGAGGGTTCACTGTATAACATTTACAAATTGATTAACTTTTTGTAAAGTTTCTTTTTGGAGAAAGTGTTCAGTATGTGTTTGTCTCTCTCTTTTTTTGTTTGTTTCAAATACTTATTCCCTTAAGCATGCAGTCTGTAAGTAGTGGGAAATTCATTGCTAAGTTATGGAACCATATAATCTTTTTATGGTTAAAATTTAGAGCAAGATATATAAAGCATATGTGTATGTGTGTGAATATGTTACAAGCATGGAGGAAGGTTGGAGTGGAGCAGGTGGGGATGGGATGAGTGTATTTCATACCTCTGAGTTGAGCCTAAAGAAAAGTAGGGCATGGGTGGGGTACAGAGGGAGGGGGAAAGAGGAGCTGATACCAAGGGCTCAATACAAAGTAAATGTCTAGAAAAGATTGATGACAACATATGTACATATATGTTTGATACAACTGATGTATGGATTGTTATGAGTTGTGAGAGCCCCCAATAAAATGATCTTTTAATAAAAAAAACAAAAAACTGAAAAAAGAAGAAAAAATAAAACTAGGGCTCATCTTAAGGTGGTCTCTACGTCAATGTGTACAGAAAGGAGTTTCCACTTAATCTTAAATACTTATGAATTAGAAATATGTTCATTTAACGAGTATTTCTTGCACATCTGTTATATATTGAGCCTGGTTCTAAATATTGTAGGTATAGTGGTAAATAATAGACAGGACAGTCCCTATATTAACCGCTCATAGTCTTAATTGATCCTAAACCTGCTGTCACTGCTGTATTTCATAGTAGAAAATCATGCAAGACTGGGCCTCCTAATTTCTAGTACAGGTTTATTTATTCGTCATTCACTTATTTAGCAAATAAGTTACAGATGCTTTCCTATATGTGCGCTATGGTTAAATCATGGATGCTTTCAAATATTTGTTCTTTGTAAATTCAGAACCTAATTGGGTAGGTAAGAGAAGTAATTAATTCATTATTAAATGATGTGATGAGAACTAAATAGTTATGAAAGAGAAACAGTGGTAAAAGAGGAAAAGAATGCCTAACAGCATATGAGTGGTCGAAACAGTGGTAAAAGAGGAAAAGAATGCCTAACAGCATATGAGTGGTCAGAAACGATTCATCAATGTAGCATTGGTAAAGTAGGGTCCTCCTGTGTCCTTTACCTCATTTTGAAGGTAAAGAGCCAAGGAGAACTGTGGGTGTACATTCTAGGAAGATGAGTATTTTGTTATACACACTAAAAAGTAAAGCCTCAGTTGTAAGATAAATATTAATCTAGCTAACCTATGATTGACATTGTCAGTGAATGTTGTTGTAAAATTTCCCTGACAACCAACTCCTATTTTTTGTGTAAGTAGAGTTCAGTTATGAAAGGATTTATTCTGTACAATATGAGTAATATGTAGTTAGCCTACATTCGCCCAATATCTGTCTCTCAAGTGTGTTTTAAAAATTAATACCAGGGGCTAATCAATGAAAAATTTAATGGAAGATCTTTAGGCTCCAGTGGGATGATTGATACGATCAATTAACAAGGAAGTTTCTAAAGGGAGCCAAAGGCAGATAAAAATCATAGATCCAGGAATGGATTTTGGGTTCACACTCAATCTTAGCTGCAATTTAATCACAGTTAGTTCTTACATCATGGCCCTACTTGTTACTTGCCTTCAGGAAGGGAACACAGAAGATATGGGCGCTGTAACAAAGTGTGGTGAAATTAGATGATGCCTAGCTATCAAACAAAATAGTAGTGTCTGGAGTCTTCACGGCTTGTTTCCAAACAAGCAGCCATCTAAGTGAGATGTCAACCAAGTCCACCTGGAAGAAGTAGACATCATTAGTGACTCAAAGATTGTAAATCATAAAATCTGAAACCGAAGGAGGGAATTGTATCAGAGCCTAATTTGTGAGATTTTGGTTTACAGAAGGCTATGGATTACAGTGGGAGCCCAAGATATATTTGCAAGATCTACACAGTAAATAAACCTCCATAATGGAGGGATGGAAATAAACCATTCACTAAACAGAGTGTATTGGAGAGATGACTATATGAAATCAAAATAATAAACTTGACTTGAACGGTTAGAACCTTGTTATTTGATCCCTCCTCAGACTCATGCTGAGCCTGATCTGGTTTTCATCATTTTCTGTGCTTCTTTAAAATTGTTTATTCTTTTTCTCATTGGGGTTATCTCTGATGTATTTTGTCATTTGGGGTAAACCTTTTTAATTTTTGTTATAAGTTTTCCTGTTTTTCAGTATATGAAACCCAGGATTGTTGAACCCATAGAGACAGGAGTAGAACAAGCATCCTTGGGGGGTGGGGTACAGTGAGGGAGGAGGAGGTAAAGGGGAGCTGGTATAAGGGAGTACAAGAAGGAAGAGAATGTTTTGAAACGACTGAGGTAGTAGTTACACAGTGCTGTTTGATGTGATTGGACTGGAATGATATATCTGTTTTAGCTCCCAATAAAATGGTTTGGGGAACAAAATGAAGTAAAGCTACCCATGAAGATGTATAAATCACTTATATTGAGTTGCTAGGAATTATATATTTTTTTAAAAGAGAACTTGAATAAGAGCTGATAACTTAATATAAAAATGGAAAAAAATTGTGTGTATGCAAATGTATTTTATAATTAGCATAATACAGGTGATTTTTAATAGAATTGTAATATTCTTCTGTAGGTGAAGTTCCTGGACTCTATACTCTTGAAGAGTTAGAGCCCCTGCTGTCGCCTCTTAAAGATGAAGCTTCACAGGATGGCTTTTTTGGACCTGTCTTTAATTACTTTACATACAGTAAGTAGAACAGATTCACTAATGAAATTCAAACTCTTGTTCATGTGAAATAAATGCCATTTAATTTGCCTTTTAAAAATTAGATTTTGAAAGCGTCTTATATTTTGGATATTTGGGCTAATTTATTCTTTTCTCCCCTCCCCTCCCGAGCACTTAGAAAATAACATAACTGCATAGCAGCAACTTACGTAGTGTTAGTTCCAACTCACAGTGACCCCATGTAGAATAAAAATATCATAGAAAGTTGAAAATGTGGTACTGATCTTTTTAATATTTAATGCCTTTGTTTTCATGTGATAATATTAGTCCCCCCTTTTTAGATAATTATTGATGTATTTGAATTGTGCTAGACTGTAGTTTAAAGAACCCGTTAATACAGAAGCAGTTTTGTGTGCATGATAGAAATCTAAAATTGAGAAAAGCGGAAAATATAGCAACAATTACACCATCCAGAGATTACTACGTGTATTTCCTTCATGAATATCATTCTGTTTTCACTTGTGTGAGCACACATGCACACACACGTTGTTTTGACCTTTGATTTTGAATTGGGTGAATGTTCACAGAGAATATTGGGTTTCTATTCAACAATTTATAAACATACATTTTGTTTTATGCATTGATTACAATCTCCACAATGTAACAGCACTTATTTCTCTTCCTCTTATGTTTTCTATTTTTGTTCCTCTTGCTTTCCTACACCTCTGCACTTTGTTCTTTGGTACTTGCTCCCGTTTTAATCTCAAGTGACTGATTATTCTAAGATGTATGTACCTCTCTAGTGTAATTCTTCTATTATTTTATTAAAATTTGAGCCCCTGTGGGATACGTATGTTTTTAGACCTCAAGCGTGACTACAGTCCATAGCCTAGAGGTTGTCACCAGTTTCTGTTTGACCAGCAAGTCGCGTCTCTTAAATGTGTTTCCGTTTTGTGGTCTATAGCTTAGATGTTTTCACCAGTCTCTGTTTGACCAGTAAGCCTAGTCTCTTAAATGTGTTTCAGTTTTGTTCCACATTTTTCTCCCACTATATGTAGGACCTACCATATATACGTGAGTATACGCCGAGTTTTCCAGCACATTTTATGTAGTTTTTGTGGTAAGATTAGGTGCCTGGGCAGATATTTGGGTCACCTTATACTCAAGTATATATATGGTAATCTGATCCCTTTCTGAGCAGTTGGTAGTGGTAGCTGGATTCCATCTAATTCTTTCAATCATAGGACCATGGAAGGTGATGTTTGCATGGTTCATTAGTACATTGGACTAAATGTTTCCATGTATCTTCTGTTTCCTTTATGGCTCTAGATTTGGAGAGACCTAAAGTTGCACTTTTATGACCCCAGTCTCTACTCATCTAAGTAGATTGTCGGGCATTGTCTCTGTGCACTGTTTTGCCAGTTAACCTTGTTGTCTCTGAGACCATGGTCTTCAGCCTATTCACTTATTATCTCACGGTGACAAACACTTGCATTTCTAACAAAAATAAGAACTATGCCATAATACTAGTGTAGCTTGTATTTTTAAAAGTGAACCATTTTTATCAATTCATTTAGGAAAATATAATTGTATGAAACAGACTATATAAATGTCCCCAATCCGACTGCATTATTGTAATTTTACATAATCATAATTTTTTTAAATTTAGGAGTTCAGCAAAACTTGCATATTGTCTTGATAATGGATTCTGCGAATTTGAACTTCATTATCAACTGTGAGAGTAATCCAGCTTTGCATAAAAAATGCCAGGTGTTGTGGATGGAAGGTTGGTCAGATGGCAGTATGAAGAAAGTAAGTTTAAAGTTTAAATGTAACCAAAGCCCAAACAAACCTACTGCAGTTAAGTTTATTCTAACATAGAGCAAACCTACTAGTTTCCCAGATTGTAAATCTTTCCTGGAACAGGTAGCCTCATCTTTTTCCCACAGAGTGGCTGGTTTGAACCGCTAACCTTGCAGTTAATTAGCCCAGTGCCTGTAACTGAAAAATATAAAGTCGTTTTCTTTTTGAAGTTACTGAATTTTCAAAACTTTTTTTTGGTATTTATTATAATACTAACTTAATTGTGGAAGTGTACATCTCTTGGATGTGTATGGTTGGAAACATTTTTATTTTATTTTCACTTTTTTATAATAGATTAGTTATAGATAGAATTTTAGGCTTAGGATTTGGTTTTTAATTTTAAAATACTGAGCTATTTATATACTTAAAATTTTGTTTATAATTAATGAGCTTATAATAAAATATAGCAAGAATTTTAATAATTCCTAAATTGTAAAAATGCTTCTTTTAAAAAAATGTTTCCTTGTTTGGAAGGGGGATTAGTTTAAAATGTAAACTCAGATCACTACTGGAATCCTTTCTTGCTTTTTTAAAATACATGCTATTTTTAACATTGTCTTTTGAAATTCATGCGTTGTAATACATGAATAGAAGTACAGACTTATGCTTATAATGGTTTGGTGGAAGGGGTTCAGTAGAATTAGGGCTAATGAAGACAGTTTCATAGATGAGAATTGATTTTGTGTTAGATTTCCGTGAGTAGAAAAGGAGAGAAAAGATATTCTAGGCTGAGAAGGCCACATGAACAGGAGGCAAATATTAAAGAATAAGTACTTATTAGATGTTTATATACACCACTCTTTTATAGAGCAGAGAGCAAAACAGAGGAACTTTCCTGTCTTTATGGAATTTACATTTTTGTGGGGATTCTAAGAGAAAAGATTTCCAGATGAGGATCCTGGAAAGAGAGCATGTCTGGTAATTCTGATGATCAGTAAGATGCCAGTGCCCTTTGGTACCAGGAGATTATGGGAGGGGGTAGGTAGAAGTGCGGTTTCAAGGGAATTAAAAGGAGACCTGTTAGGCTGACTAGGAAATGATACAGAGTCGCCTTTTTCCTGATCACAAGTAGGCTTTTTAAAGTGTGTAACTTTGCCTGTGCGCCTATTGCCTGTGAGATTATTGAGGAAAGGATTCTTGAGATTATTGAGGAAAGCTTCTGGATTCTGGGATGAAAACAGACTATCATGGAAACAGATTATAAATAGAAGCATTTCTATGGCTACTGTGATAATTCAGGTGAGAGAAAGGAAAGTTTGGTAAGAGGTTTAGTGCTAGAGGTGGTGAAAAAGGGTTGAATCTGGGTATGTTTTTCAGTAGAAAAAGTAGCATTTTCTTGTTAAAATGGAAAATATGTAAGAGAAGTTCAGGACTATCCAGGATATGTACAGGTACGTGTTTTGGATAGAACAATCACTGACGGAAAGGGGAAAACCATGAGAAAGGTAGTTTAGAGGAAAAGATAGGTCTTTCAGTTTTAGATGTGTTAACTAAATCATACAACCAAATTGAGAGTTGGAGAAGGCATTTAGATACATGAGTCTGGAGTTTAGGGGAAATGCCAGGTATATGGATAAAAGAATGGGAATTATCAGAGCATAGATGATATTTGAAACAAGAATGATTGTATTGAATAAATGAGTGAGTGAATGAGAGAAGAAATCCAAAGATAGAACTCTAAGGTACTTCAACATTGAGAAGTTGGGGAGATGAACAAGCCTGATCAATAGAGGGTGCTGCGAAGAAGCCGAGAAGGTGCTGCCCGAGCTAAGGGAGGAAAATCGGGGGAGTGTGATGAGTGTGAGCCTGAGAGTATATTTCAGAAGAAGAAGTACAGCAAATGAGAGTAGATGAGAAGTTGATCATTGCTTTTAGCAACATGAAAGCTGTTGGTGACTTTTGGTAATGAAAAAAAACTCACAGGAGAATGTGTTATGAAGGACGAGAAGGATTGTTGACAGTGAGTATGGATAAATTGTATTATAAAGAAGAATAGAGAATTGAGTCTGTAACTGGAGGAAATGTACATTAATAAAATCTATTCTTTGTTTTTTTAAGATGAGGCAAACTTTAGCGTGTTAATATGCTATTGGGGATTATTTGGTAGGAAGCAAGGTACATATGATGCAAGAAAGATGGAAACATTGGTGGAGCAATTTGCGAGCTGTGAACAGTGACTGGGTCTGCTATGTACAAGTGGAAAATCTTAAGCATTGGATTTTCTAGGCGTACCAAGGAGTCATCATAATTCAGAGAGGAAAGCAGAATCTACTTTAGCACAGATTCAATAGGTGATGTGCAGAAGTTTTGAAAGCTGATTGTTTCTATTTTTATTAAGTGAAATGGGCAATAAAGTTATTTGAGAGAAAAGACCTGAGAGAAGAAAACTATTTGAAAAGAAAATAAAGTTCTAATAAGAAAAAAAAAAAAAAGACCTGAGAGGAGCTTCAGAGATTTAATGAAATGCAAGAAGATATGCAAAATAGCACATTGGGAAGGTAATATGATAGTGAGAGAATTAGGAAAATGAAATGCTGTATTAAAGGTTCACCTGATCATGAATTTCAGTTGTGGTCAATCACCATAGTTGTGTGTTTTTCCCCAGCAGCATGTGGACTCAGAGATACAGGTTAGACGCACATGAGCCTTTGGATTTAACCAGGAAGGGGCTTGCCATGAGAGTGTGGTAAAGCAATGAGGGCCAGCGGAGTTCAGGACATTTAAAAGAATGAAATTATTATGAATTAACATGGAATTTAAGTTGGCCAGGAGATAAATTAGGTAGCATTAATGGATTGCATACATTTTGTAGAACCTGAAGCTTATTTGTGATGAGGAAGGAGTGAGCTGGGAAGCTAGGATGGGATTGAGAAGGAAACTTGACAGTGAGATTATGGGAGACAGGTTTTTATTATTGCTAACGGCAAGGACCCACATCAAGGCCTCAGTATATGATCTGAGAAGGAGAGGAGTTCACAGAACAGAGAAGTCGGGTTATTAGAGAAATAAATCTGTAGTTACTTTTGGAATGAAAATTGAGTGGGTTTGTAGATGCCTGCTTTAAGGAACATCAGTGATTATTATATTTTGATACTATGAGAAACTGACGTTTATGGAGGATGACGTTAAAAGAGCATTAGGTGCAAGAGGACAATGCACTACCTGGCGACCCAGTGATTCATGCACTTGATATCACTTGGTATTCTTGGAGAATAGAGAGTTCAAGTGATTAAAGCACAGGGTATGTGGTTCATTGTAGTGGGAGACAGATTTAAGAGCTAAGACAGTAAAAAATGAGGGAAACTTTTAGATGTCATGTTGAGGACTTCACATCTTATTTAGTAAGCAGTAGGAGTAACAAGGATATGGATGGAGTTGATATGATTCTACTTTTTTTTTAATGCTAGATTTTTTTTAATCGTTTTATTAGGGGCTCATACAACTCTTATCACAATCAATACAAACATCAATGTGTAAAGCACATTTGTACATT